GTGAGTAGTATCCAATCTGTCTAGGCGGTACTGATGAAATGAAATGTGGATAGGTCTCTTGTGATACAATAGTGAATAATTGTTATCAGGACTAATTGTCAGGTTTGGAAATGTAAAGGTAGACGGTTTGTAGCAAGGAGGGGAGTGATTCACTTTGCAGTCTAGGAGCGGAGGTCCCTGGGACCATTAAGGGAGAAGAGTGGAGAGAGGGATCCAACATAGAGAAGCAGTGACGATGCTGTGGAGAGATGGAGCAGCTGGGGACTTTAGACCCAGAGAGGGGCTGTGTGCTGAAGACTGGGGTGGGGGTGTAGGGGGCAGGCTTGCAGGGTATATCCTTTGGTTGGCTGATGAGGCACGGAGGGAACTGTAACCATAGCAATGAAACAATATGCGATAGGATGAATATAAAACTAATGTTCTCCCATGTAAACTATCACATAACTCACAATTAAAAAAAAAACCTCTATGGGGCACAGTTCTCTGACACCAGGGTCATGAGTTGGAATCACTTGACAGCAATGAACAACAATACCAAATTGACTAAAAAGAAATCCATGCCTAGAGACACCATAAAGAAAATGCAGAAAACCAAAGGCTAAAAAAAAAATCTCAAAAAACATCTTATAATTAAGGAATTAAGCAGATCATATTTAAAAATCAAGACAAAGTATGCTTAAATCATTAGAGTGCACTGAAACAACTTAATTTACCTGAAGCTAGCTGCTCCTCAGAAACCCTACAAGTGGTAGCTATGAGCGGGAACAAACTCCACAGCACTTAACAACAATAACAAATGGCTGAATCATGCTCTTAAATTACTTCATTTACCAAGTATCTGTTTCTCAATTTCAAACTTGACCCTTAACCAAACATCAAAAAATTCTTGGAAGGTGAAAAGGAAGGCAGCTAATCACTTAAAATGATCTTGCCTTTATTCTTTCTTAAGGCATCAAGACTTTGGCTGAGAAAGACAATCAGGCAACCTCTGCTTTCAGACCCTTACAAATCATTAATAGATCATCTCAGGTCCTATTTGAAAGCCTGGACAAGACGCCTTCATCTCAGCTCAATTCCAGTCTACGTACTAGATACTTTAAGGAGTTCAGAAGCAACGCCCTCCAAGTCATTTTTTGGCATCCCTATTAACACACAAAAGAAGATCTGGTAGCGTAGTGGTTAGGAGTCGGGCTGCCAACCTCAAGGTCAACAGTTCAAAACTACCAGCATTTCCGCGGAAGCAAGATAAGGCCTTCTGCTCCCGTAAAGATTTACAGCCTCGGAAACCCTGTGCAGGGTCACTATGAGTCACAACCGACTCCACGGTACTTAACAACATTAACACACAATGGAGTTCTGGTGTGGCGCTGGGTTAATGCACTGGGTTCCAAGGTCGGTTTGAACCTCAAGGTCGGTGGCTCAAGCACTCCAGCTGCTCCTTGGAAACCCTAGGAACCACACCCGAAAGCACTTAACAACAACAAACATTAACACACAATAAACCAAAATGCTGAGGAGCAAACAAATCTTACTAAGCAGCTGGTACATAAGGGGTCATATTAGACACCTGAACTTGGCTTCTAGGGGTCCCACTCCAGACCTGTGTCACAGTATCTGGGGGTGGGACCCAAGAATCTGCATTTTAAGAGCTGCAGATGGCTGTTTTCAACTAAAGTTTAAGAACCACAGTTATGAACGAATTGGTCTCCCTTTCCCCTGTGAGAACTGGCATTCAGGTGGGCCAGTAACTTACCAAAAACCCAAACCCACTGCCACCGAGTAGATTCCAGCTCACAGCGACCATATAGGACAAAGTAGAACTGCCCCCAGAGAGTTTCCAAGGATGTAATCTTTACGGATGCAGACTGTCACATTTCCTCCCATAGAGCGGCTGATGGGTTCAAAAACGCCGACCTTTCAGCTAGCAGCCGAGCGCTTAAATACTGAGCCACCAATATTCCTTCACCAACTTCTACAGGGATCCTCAAACAAGACGCTCCAACTCTTGACCTTATTTTCCTCATCGGGAAAACAGGCACGCTGGTTTGCTTTCTACTAAAAGAAAATGCACTTCGCATAGGAACTGGCACATGGTACATAAATGTACATTCTGTGACTCAACCGTTTTCAACCAGGCGTCCCCATATCTTCTGGGTATGGACTGGAGCCTGCTGCTCACCAGGGACTGATGGCGGCCCCATCTACGGAAGAGGTGTGTGGGAGCAGCAAATGGCCCGGCAGTCCAGGGCCCACCTTAAAGGATGGGAAAACCATTCCCGCACGACCCAGACGCTTTCCCCAGCACCCATCAGTCTGGACCCCTCAAGCTTCGGACCTCGAGGACTCACGACAGGGGACAAGCGGGCTGAGGGACATAGGCCAGGTCCTAATCCAGTCTCAGCACACCATCTCCTCGGCAAAGAAATTGGAGCCCAGGTTTTGTTGTCTGGCCAGGGTCCAAGCCGCACTCACCTACCCGTGCGCGGGAGGCGAGAGTCTCACCTCAGCGGCGCCCACCCTAAACGGCCACCGCAAAAGCCGCTAGCTCTTTTAAAAAAAAAAAAAAGGAAAAAGAAAATAGCCTTTGCTTTTGTATTTCTTTTGACCCTTCAGGGCTTCCTGTTCCTCGCCGCCACAACAAAGTTCCGCCCCGTTTCCGGCACCGTAACCCAATCCGCTACTCTCTTCCTCCCCGGTAGACCGATGGAAATCCGGTACCCGCAAAACGAGCCGGAGAGACTTGATTGGGTCAGTCACACCTAAGCAACAGGATTGGCCAGTTCACGCCTTTGAAGGCGGGACAGCCAGTTTTATCATGTGATTCAATATCTAGGATGTGATTGGTTCTTAGTAAAGGGGCGTGTCATAAAGGAAGGGGCGTTTCCTAGGGGACTGAGGGAGGGCCGGGGCGGTGCGAAGCGGGGGTGGGCCCAGTGCGTAATGGCAGCGCGGTGGCCTCGCGTCCATCTTTACCGCTCTCTCGGACCTGTCACAAAGGAGTCGTGCAGCCGCCGCCCCCTCTCTCCGGTGGACCAGGGAGCTGGAGAAAGTCAGTGCCTCAGCCCGGCCGCGCTGCTCCGGGAAGTCCCTGGGGACGCGGAACGGGGGAGGGAGTCCAAGGGCTGGGGACGTTCGTGAGGGACGGGGACAGACGCCTAACCTGGTGCGGGGAGACCGGACTGGGGTCGAGAGAGGCTCCGGGAAGCGGCCCGGGAGGAGGAGGTGTTGGGCATAGCCCGGGAAACAGCCCGGAGGTTCTCTGCGGTGGCTCACGCTGAGGGCGCGTGAAGAGGTTCCTGGCAGAGGGTGTTCCCGTTTTGGGGATCTTGACCGGAGAAGGTTCTTGGGGGTCGCCTTTCTGAGGAGGCCGCTGCTATAGGGACCCAGGTGAGAGGCAGGTAGCTTCTGGGGAGGCTCCTGGGACTGAGGGGTGCCCCCAGGGCTACCCGGGACGGAAGGGGTAGATTTGGGGAGGGTTCCCTCTGCCGAGTTTCTGGTTTAGGGAGCACGGAGGGCACAAGTGAGAGGTAGACCTGCCCCAGGAGACTCTGAAATGGCTCGCGGTCTAGAGACGCCTCAGAGACGCGGGCACGGAGATGGGAGCCGGATCTAACGGACTCTTCTGCTCCGGAGGCCCGAGCTAAATATTGGGTAAGGGCCTTGGGGAGGGGGAATTTCGGGAAGCTTCTGGGAAGTAAAGCCTCCTCCACTCCTGCTTCATAGGGGGGACCACTGATAGGGAAGCAGGATGACAAGGGGCTTTCCGTCTCTCAGAAGACAGACCAGGTGTCCCAGACGGAAGACTCAGTTGCTTCTGGGTTTAGTGCGGGGATCCACCCCACCAACATCCTCTGCATGAGTTGGATTAAGCATTTGTCCCTGCCTGTCGCCTCAGTTTCCCCATTTTTGACGAAGGAGACCGGCAGAAGTGGTCCACTAAGACTCGGAGGTCCTATCTTGAGAGGTGGTGTAGCTGGAGTGTTACACTTTGAACTTTGTAGATTGGAAGTACCTAATTTTGGGCTCAGACAGTATCAACTATCGTGAAGATGGCTCAGGCCGAGCAGTGTTTCCTCTTTATATAGATGGAAGACATCCGTGTGAATAGCTCTTGATCACCTATGGAATACTGGGAGCCATGTTGTACTGAAAGCTTCAAGGTTTGCAACTTCTTGGACTGTATTATCATCTCAGCCCTTGATTTCAACCTTAGTTTAGATGGAGGAGTTTCCAGTTTTTGCCCCCAGAGTTTTCATTTACTTAGAACTTCTAATGATGCTGGCAGGAGTTGGCACTATATAATAAATCTTTTCTGTAAGGAAGTTTTTTCCTGACAGCTGAAATTTACCTCCTGGTAATTTCTTGTCAATATTATCCAAACCTCATCCCTTTTTTCCATATATACCCTTGGCCTATGGATGCCTGCAGGTAGTGGTTATCATGTTTTCCTTCCTCAATTGTGATTTGTGAAGGCCCCATTTGGCAATTTTACATTTCTCTTCTAAAAAGGTTCTCTTTACATTGTTTTCTACCTCATGTAGATTATGCATTTCCTAGGAAGACATCAAACCCTTCACTAAAGTTACAGGTCGCTTGTTTCTATGTCTTTAATGTTTAGTTAGTGACATTTGTTAGAGCTGGCTTTCCAAATATTTGGTAATTCATTTGGTGGTCTTTTAGATAGTTGTTTTGTTTTTTAACAAAAAAGCTGACCTGCATTTATTGTTCTTCTAATCTTCATATAATCCATGAGCCTTTAAAGAAAATTACTGGAGTGATTTTGTGAGCTCTCTGATGTCTCTGGATAAATGTTGTGATGGCCTACTAATTAATGCCTCTTTGTGTCCTGCTTTTTGCGAGTTTCCCAAACTCTTCATTATTTCTGTACTCCATGATTATTTTTAAGTCATCGATTATAGGGAATGTTCCAGCATACTCTATGTGGGCTGCTTTGTCAGCAAAATAACTTCATTTAGTATATTGACCAAGTATTCAAGGGGAAGTAAAAACTTAACATTTTGTATAATAATGTTATTCTATTGTGAATAGGGAAAAAACCCAACAACTCTGAAGCATGTTTTGGTAAGTTTAACAAAAAATTTTTTGTTGTATCATCTTGATGTACATTTACAATAGTCTCTTTCAACTGCAGGAACATAATTCAGTCCATCAAAACTTGTGTATACTTTCCCAAATAATGAAGTAATTTGTGATAATGAAATGAGAAGTCACTTAGTCATCTTTATACAAAGTCAGCAGTTCAAACCTGCCCGCTGCTCCTCAAAAATCCTATGCAGGGTCGCAATGAGTTGGAACCGACTTGATGGCACTAAGAACCGTAATACCTGTGTAAAGCCATGGCCACTCATAGTGACCCTATAAGACAGAGTAGAACTTACTAGGGTTTCTGAGACTGTAACTCTTTATAGGCGCAGAAAACCTCATCTTTCTCCCGTGGAATGACTGGTCGGTTTGAACTGCTGGTCTTGTGGTTAGCAACCCAGTGTTTAATCCACTGCAGCACCAGTGTTCTTTAGTATCTGTATAGTTTGGACACTATTATGAATTCTTTAAGATGGTAGTCAGCCTTACACTACTTTAAATTGCATGTTTTCTGTGTTTTGTTATGGCATCCTTTTAAAGTAATATCTGATCATCACAGAGTTGTAAAAGTAATTAGTAAGTCAACAGGTACCCTAGATGGGAATTACAAGGTAACCAATCATTTATTTCAAAAGAGAGTATCAAAGTGACTTCTCACTTCATTATAACAAATTCATTATTTGGCAATATTTATACATGTTTTTTGATAGACTGAATTAAGCTTTTAACATCTTCAAGGCACTTACCATTAAATTAAAAACTCATTGTCATCTAATCAATTCCAGCTCATATCATAGCAAGCGTATATCCCATGCAGTGTCCCAGCCTGTAGATCTTTACGGAAGCAGACTGCCACACCTCCTGCAGAGTGACTGATGGATTTGAACCACAAATCTTTCAATTAGCAACTGAGTGCTTAACCACTGCACCGCCCTGGGTCTCTTCACCACTGGGTAGTTTTTTGTTTTTGTTTTTTTCTGTATTCAAATAAGATGACTGAAAAACAGAATAGTGAAGAAGTAAATTCCAAAACTTGGGCCACAGTATTTACAACTTTTAAAAGTGCAAAAGAATAAATATTTTTCCTTTGGCTTATTTATTCAGTAAGTCAGCTTTTGAAATCATTTTTGGACCAACCTTTAAGATTAGAGGGAAAGTATAAATTTGTTATATATTACTATTATAATACTAAAAGTTCCCCAAAAGGGATTGTTTGCTAGTTAAATATGTAAAGGCAATAACTACAGACTAGGTAACTGTGACTGATACAAGGCTAGATCAGGCACAAACACTTTTTAAACAATGCTGGGCTCAGAAAATTCCCCATTCTTTCCAAGGTTTTAAAAACTATAAATACCTGAGTAGTAAGAAATTGGTTACTTAAATTTGCTAAGGAATAAATTCTGCACATTAGATTTCTTACTGCTGGAAATTATGGTTTCAGGTTTAATTTAATGGAACCTATGAACCCTAAGCTCTGGTAGTGTAGTGGTTACGAATCGCAAGGTCAGCAGTTCTAAACTACCAGCTGTTCCGTGGGAGTAAGATGAGGCTTTTTGCTCCCGTAAAGATTTACAGCCTCAGAAACCCTGTACAGGGTTGCTATGAGTCGGAACCGACTCCACGGCACACAGCCACCACCATGAACCAGAAGGGTGGCGGTTCAACCTAACTAGTCGCTCCTCAGAAACCCTATACAAGGTTGCTATGGGTCGGAATTGACTCAACAGCACTTAACAACAACATGACATTGCGAGTTAATGCGCTGGACTATAAGATTGGTTTGAACCGTAGGGTCAGCAGTTCAAGCTCACCAGCCACTTCTTGGAAACCCTACACAGGGTCGCTATGAGTTGGAACCAACACGAAGGCACTTAACAATAACAAATACCTCCAATAAAAGGTTTGAAATAACTTTACTCAGCAAGCTTACTTAGGGTTACGTGATAGTTTAGTATTTTCCAGTGTTTTTTCTTCCCTCGCCTATTCCTGAAGAATTCAAGAGCTCTGGTAGAACAGTGGGTTCTGCACTAAGCTGCTAACTGCAAAATCATTAGTTAGAATCTACCAGTGGCTCCTTGAAGCTTTCTGTTCCTGTATGGCGGCACATAACCACCACCGCCCCGCAAGAATTACTTTTTCTTCCCTGTGGGCCCTTAATGCAATGATTCTCTAAGTATTGTGTCTACCCCACCCATCCTCACAGGCCTTTATCCCCCCTCCGATTCTTACTCAATGGACTCCAGCATAACAGCAATGGGAGGATGCCGCAGGACTGGGCAGTGTTTCATTCTGTTATACATAGGATCACTGTGAGTTAGAGCTGACTCGACAGCACCTAACAAAAGCAAGTTCTTATTCATAGTTATTCATAATTACATATTCATAGGGTCACTATCCTTGGAGGCCAGGATGTCTAAGCTTCATCTCTCATACTTTGGACATAATGTCAGGAGAGAACAGTTGCTGCAGAAGGATGTCATGCTGGGTAAGATGGAGGGTCAGAGAAAAAGAGGAAGACCCCCAATGAGATGGATCAGCCAGATGGCATCATTAATGGCGTCAAGTGTGGCAGCGGTGGTGGGGTTGGCCCAGGATCGGACATTGTTTCGTTCTGCTGTGCATGGGGTCGCTATGAGTTGGTCTGACTCGATGGCACCTGACAACAACAACAACAACAAGGGTCACTATGGAGTCCTGGTGTGGTGCTATAGGCTAGTGTACTGGACTGCAAAGTCAGTTTGAATCGCAAAGTCAGTGGTTCAAACTTACTAGCTTCTCCTTGGAAACCCTAGACAGGGTCGCTATAGGTTGGAATCGACTCAACAGCACTTAACAACAACAATAACAAAGGATCACTATGGAGTCCTGGTGTGGTGCTGTAGGATAAGCCCGGACTGCTAACCTCAGGGTCTGCAGTTCAAATCACTTAGCCAGCCACTCCTT